AGCCCCGGCCGCGCGCTCGCTGCCCAGCTCCTTCGCTGCACGGTGCTGCAGCAGCTCAGGCCAGGTCTGCCGGTCTGTCTTGTGGAAAAAACTGCACATAACGGGACCGAGCCTTTCTGAATGTGGGGGCTGAACTGAAGTTACAGAGACAACCTTATTCTCAACATGCATTAACTCTAGAACGTTTTTCAGTTTCAGTAACATTCCTTCACGATGGCTAAGGTGTAAGGTTAGATGTTTCATGTTGATTGAAGAGAGTCTGGCCCATGAGCAGGGAATTGCAGCATGCCCTCCTAGTTATTTATGGTTATCTTCAGACTCTCTACTATCACTTAATAAGAGCTAGAAGTTGGATTTTATTACTTCATTAGAAACAAAAACAGTAGCTCACGGTATTTTTCACCAGATTTATACTTGTACTTAACAATGATGGAGCATCTTGTTCAAATACCGCAAAAATTAAGCGGCTTCCTCTGCACTGTGTTTTCATATCTAGAGATTCAGACTAATGCCTGTCTCTTTAAAGCTTGGTGCTTCTATGTAAGCAAATGCAGTATTTATATGGTCTTGTATATAGTCTTTAACCTCTGGCAGCTATGAATTTTCAACTCTGAAGCATTCATTATTCATTCTTATGTACTGTTTGTTCTTCCATTACAGCAGAAAAGTAATAAAAGGTAATGAGGCAGAGCCAGTTTGCTCTTGGTTAAAGGATATTTATTATATAAGAGGATGTAACCAATATTCAGATGTGTGTTTGTGGTTTAACCTGCAAGGAATTCAACCAGGATATCCCAGGGCTCTTAAGCTGGTGCTGTTTCCTTATTAAAATAGTAGAGCATATATATATGTATATGTGTATATATATATATATATTTTTTTTTTTCCTTTCAAATGTGCCATGATTTTATGCCCTCTAGGATTTGAGTATGAACTGAAAAATGTGTCTGGTATATCAGTTTACAGGCTGATTATTGCCAGGCTTGAGTGTTTTCCACTTTGTTGCTCCTTATGGAGGATCCCACTGTTGAGGCTCTTTATTAATCATGTTTAACGTATGTGAGGTAGCTGTTTCATAAAACCCATTTGGAACAGTTTATTTGACCTTTATCTTACCAGTTTATTGACATTATCAGCGGGGTAAGAAGAGGCTTTAGTGACACAAAGGATTGTAGCACAGCATCTAGCGCGATGTTTTCACTTTCTTTGCAAGAGGCAGCTGCTAGACGTGTTCCTTTTGGAACAGCACAACTTGGATATGTTTGCTTTACGGGGTTAAATAGTTGCAATTGTTTTCTCATTATGGTAATTTCATCAAGCTCTACAGACAGATAAGATCAGTTCTTGCAAGCCGAAGCCGATTTGGAGCCGTAAAGCACATGCAGCCAGGACCGCGTGTTGTCCGGAGATCCCCGGTGAAGCCTGTTGGGAGGTTTGACTTTACAGGCTCTGCTTGGTTAATGCTTCTCTTCCGAATCCCAAACGGAATCAGCCAGGCAGTCGGGCTCTGGGAGGCCGCTCGGCTTCCCGGGCGGCCGCGCGCGGTCGCTGCGCCTGCAGGTCGCGCGTTCCGTTCTGCGGGGCGCGTGGGCGCCTGGCCTTCCTCAGCACGGTGCACTCCGGCTGTTTGCGTAGCGAGGGTGAACAGATGTGTGCAAGACCATTCTGTAGCAGATGGTCTGTCAGTCTTTCTGAAGTCAAAACTTCATTTTGCAGGATGGGGGTAGCTGTAGCAAGGAAAGGATTTACTCGGAACCACTCTAAACACGTCCCGTTGCGGAGCTGTTTGGCGCGGCGCGAGAGCCGCGGGAGCAAAGCTCGCCCTGCCGGCGGCTCGGCCCCGCGCAGGGCGCGCGGGCGGGAGCGTGGCCGCTCGCTCGGGCTGCTCGCGCAGCGGTCTGTCCCCGAAGCTGCAGGATCCCGGGGGGTTCCTCATGCAGACGCTACCGTGTAAGGAGAGTAGCTGCAACTGGGCGGAGGCTTCGCTTCATCTCGCCTTAGGGTGTTCACATCAAAAAGGAAATATGTGCACATCCACCCTTCAGTGTGCTTGTTGCATCGTAGTTCCGGCTACATATTTTAAATGTTAGTTCTGTTCAGTGTAGTAGTTCGGATTTGTCTCCTGCATGTATTTTCTGCTAGATGTGTGTAAATATGCTATGGGGTGTGTGTGTATAAATATATATATATAAATAAAAACTCCATAAATAAAAATATCAGATGTGATTGCCAACTGGCATTCTGTCATGAGGTAAATGGAGGCATTTTACAAAAGTGAAAGGAAATTATTATTTTTTTTTTCCAAATTTTCTATCTCTAAATAAAAAGACATTTTGGTTCCCCATCTGGTCCAAATGCCTTGAGAATGCGCTGGCAGAGCTGATGCATTTGCTTTAAGTGCCTGGGAACACTCTCAGGCCTTAGAAAAGGAACGATAGCTAGGACTATTTGAGATAACTCTCATGCATGGGAGTCTTTTGCGCGAGTGACGGTCCCCTTGTCCCTGCTGCCACTTCCCGCCTTTGGACGAGGGCTGGCAGCCCTGGCGCGGGAGCTGGCGCCTGTGGCCGCGTGTCGCTAACGCGTGTCTCTCTGTTCCAGGTTGTACATGCGCACAAGCCCCACTTCATGGCTTTACACTGTCAGGAGTTCGGAGGAAAAAACTATGAAGCTTCCATGTCTCACGTGGACAAGTTCGTTAAGTAAGTAACCTTCAGCGATGGTAAATAAGCCCCCTCCTAGGGGGAGGCGCTAGGCATGTGAAGTAAATGAGATTTGAAGTTTTCTTCAACTTCACCGCAGCGTTCACCTTGCAAGAGGATGTCATGGGGCAAATTTTTGTGCTTTGTATTATTGAAGATGCCGACATAAGTAGCTATGAAAGTCTCCTCTGGACATTAAAGTCTATAGGTCTGTTAATACCGCAAGGTACAGAATATACATCTCCATTTGAAACCACCTCTGGTGTCCCCCAGCTGATGTGATGAAGTCTCCTGGTTCCCAGGTCATTCAGGTAGCTGCATTTGTCACAATTTACACTTTCTGGTATCCGATGCAGCAGAGTCCGCGTCCAGGTGACAAACAGGAGCATCTCCCATCTCCTGGGGAATACCTGACCTGAGTGATCCCCATCTGTTAATTGTATCCAAGGAAAAGTAATTTGCAAGTAGAGTTCTCTTTATTCCGTTCTCTGGTAAACTTGGGATTGCTGGTGCAGATGTCTGAAACACCGTAACAGGGCTGTGCGGCCGCTGCTCGTGAGCGCCGGCTGCAGCGGGGAGGGAGCACGGGCCGACAGTGCTCTCTGCCGTGCTGGGCCTGGTGCAGTGCTGCGGGTGCTGCCGCACGCGATGCAGCGTGGAGCGGTGCAGAGCGGAGGTGCCCGCGTGGAGCCGGGCGCTTCCCGTGCACTTCCTATGCACGGTGCAGCGTGGAGCGGTGCAGAGCGGAGGCACCTGCATGGAGCCGGGCGCTTCCCATGCGTGGTGCTGGCGGTTCGAGAGGGCCCGTTTTGCTGCCCCTGCAGCGGTGGGGTGCAGCCACCCTAGGGGTTGCAGGCTCGGCTGCCCCCTTGCGGGGTGGCAGGGGTTGGCGGGGACGCGCTGCCTGCCACAGTGTCCCCACAGCATCCCCGGCGGGGCGACCCGCCGTGTGAGGAACAGGGCTCAGCGAGATGGGCAGCGGTGTGTCCCGGGGAAGCAAAGCTCTGTGGTGCAGAGCAGAGGGCCTTTTGCAAAGATTCGCTCAGTTACAGCCCCTTTTGGGCTCCTCAGAGACACGAGTCCTTCCCAGCTTTCGCCGAATGGCACTTGATAAGATGGTGCTCCATGCACGAAGCTCAACTGGTGTTCGCAGCTCCGGGGCTGGTAGCAGGTGCCTGGAGCACGGCCGGCCGTGCAGGAGGCTGCGCCGCTCGGCAGGCGCCGCGGGAGGTCGCGGGGCAGCGAGGCCAGGCCGGTGCTTGCTCTGCGCTGTGCTGAAGGCCGCTTCGGCCCAGAGGGTGATGCTAAAGCCATGCAGTACATTTCATATCCATTTATATCTTCAGTCTCTTTTGTCTTGCAGAGAACTGTTGTCGAGTGATGCAATGAAAGACTACAACAGAGCTCGAGTGTACCTGGATGAGAACTATAAATCGCAGGAACATTTTACGGTAAATTTCTTTACTCGGTCACATTAATTTGACGTATAGTGAATTTTTTCACAGCTGCCTAGTGTTTTCCTGCCTGATGTGAGGTCTTTCCATCATGATGAGGGTTGCACCTTTACTAAGAATATTTACTTTGTATGACAAAAAAATGATGATTTCACAAGTCCATCCGTTTAAAAATGAGTGGAATGTGAGAATTCGCAAAAAGTTTTTCTTGTTGTTCCAGGTGATTGTCTGAAAGTTATTTGCTCTGACAGTTCACCTTCTGGGTAGATCAGCATTACCTTCCATTCGAGAAAATACTTTCCTGCCTGGTGCTCTGAGCTGGAGCCAGTTCTGAGCTCGACTGACCGTGAGCAGAGATCGGCAGTTCAGGATTTTTGTTATGGGTTTTTGGAACTGATTTACAGAATTGCTTGTTGGAGGCTTGTGAGAAGAGCAGTGGACGGGTGTACATGAGTGGTGTTTTGGTGAACATACAAGTGAAGCAGGAGTCACCCTTGAGCCCGCAGTTGTATGGCGCTAGGCGGGATTGCGCGGTTTGGGAGTCGATCTCCTGTCACGTTTTGGCTGTGCTAGAACGAAGGAGGAAGGTGGAGCAGGGCGGCAGCTGATGGGATGGCAGTTTGTTAGATGGCCAAAAGTTAAAATACAGTGATCATGATAAAGGACAAACATTCAGCATATCTTGTGGCTCTGCACTTAGAAATGGATAAAAGTACATTTATATTGCATGAAATTATTAAGTGCGTCCCCCTCGTTAGCCAGACAGTTGAGCAGTACCTGTGCTTTGAAGTCCCACGTGTGTGCGAGGAGATCTCCGAAGAGCTGGTGTTGCCCAGGGAGCATCTGCAGGGCTCTCCCCGTG